CCATTTGTCATGTGCAGTCACCTTCCGAGGGGGAACCGATCTGCTTTTGCAACCAAAGATACCTCCCCACAGCAATTTCCAGAATGCAAACTGAAGCGTCTGGCTAAAAGTTATGAATCCTGAGAAAATGAACCTATTCAGTGGGTCAGGCCCATAAACAACTGTAGCTGCCCGTAGTTAGCATAAGTCATTTAAAAGTCAACGCTATGGCCTGGTTTTCAGAGCGGCCTTTAACAAAGCGTGGAGGACTGCACTTGCAATTTTTCAGGGGAAAAAAGCCCCAAAGAACAAAGCCCCTGAACTCGGTTGCGGGTGTGATTTATGAGTCGGCCCCTGGCTGCACCTGCACATTAAAACACGGCATCCATCAGCTGAACGCCTGGGGGGGCAAAGTCAGAGGCCAGCGCTTAAGGAACAGATCAAAGCTTATTAAAGCAAAACAGCTGTAAGAATTCCTTGCTCTCCCATGGAGAATGAAGTCTCGGTTGCTGGGAGGTGCTGGTTTTGCTATGCTTTGCTGGGGGCAATGTGTTTTAGGGCCAGCGCTGTTCCAGCTCCCCCATGGGCAGAGCGGCGCTCACCGCTGATGGCGCCGTGTCTGGGCGGACGCGCAGCCTGGGGCGGACGCGCATCCTGGCTGGGTCCCACCACTACAACCACATTATAGAAACCAGCAACAGCCACAAAATCTCGTGCTGTATTTAAAGTCTTTTGCACAATCCCTTGTGAGAGCAACGAACCCTTTTCCCGTATTTGCCTCCCACCTTCTATCACAGAAGGCAGTGCTGTTGCCTTTCCAGCTCCCCACATCCTTCCTGCCATTGAACACTTGCAGAAACCGTTCAGGATAAACTCTGGTTAAATCTGTCCCACCCAGCAAATGGTTCCCATTACCAAAGCCCGTCCCGACTGCTGTTCCCCACCGCGGTCATTCACGATTCCGCCCGGCTCTGCTGCCCTGGGCATTTGCTGAGCAGATCAGCTGCAGTACCCTGCTGCCTAACCCCACACTACTCAGACGAGCTACCGAGCATTAAGGTTAATCCCCGAACTGAAGTTAATATTTGGACGTACGGCGGAGCCAAGAGATGCATTAAGGACGTGCAGTGGCGGAGGCCTCCGAGTGGCCCCCTCGCTGCCTGCCAAGCGATGCTCGTGGGCCGGCTGCCAGCAGAGCTGAGCGCTGCCTGGCTGTGGGATTTTTAAATCATATAAAGGGCACTCTCATTCACTTGCAGACTGTGTAGGCTGGTTGTAATGTCAAGAAATGCGTCTTAGTTCCTCTTTGATAGCTGTCTGCAAGCTGGCATTTTGCAATCAGAGTTCCCCCATCACCTGCATCATCCCGTGGGCTTCAGCGCTCACGGCAAACCCTCCGTGGGAAGAGCCCAGGGAGCTTCAGCTCGAGCATCTCCGCCTTGTCCCCTCCCCTTGGTCACAAGCCTCCTTTTTCACAGTTACAGATAGCGATTCTGGTTTTCTCCCCGCAATTCACTTGCCTCTTTTATGCACAGAGGGAGTTCTTTGGCAGGAGTTCCTCTCTGCTGTGTGTGAGAGAACCTGCACATATGACACCCAAATTCCACCAACACCTACGAGTCTCTGCAGGCAGTGACTGATGGCAACAGACAGTACAATCCGCCGAATCCGGGAGGGCATCATCCTCCCGCCCACCTCCCGCAGGCTCTGCCTTCTCACTTCAAACAGAGACACGAGCTGATGCAGCAAAGACAAACAAAACAAAGCTAAACAAAATGTTTAAACTGGTTTCTCTCTTTTAAGGATCTTTATGCATTAGACCTAGAACCATACCGCTACTCCGGAGTGAACCTGACCGGCTTCCGGATCCTCAACGTGGAGAACCCGCACGTGTCCTCCATCATCGAGAAGTGGTCCATGGAGCGGCTGCAGTCGGCGCCCAAGGCAGAGCTGGGGCTGCTCGACGGCGTCATGATGGTACGAGAAGTTTAAACAAAGAACGGCTGAGGTCTGAGAAGCAGACCAGAGCGCTAGGAAAGGCAGGAACATTCGTTAAGGCCTAGATGCTATTTCTGGTGGTTCATGTACTCTAACAACTCATCCCAGGTACCTTCCCCGAGGTAGTTACTTGCATTCTTTAATAACCGCCCCTCAAATGCAGCGAGTTCGGCTGGTGAGTCCCCTGCAGCCCACTGCTGTGTTCACAGCTCCTCCTGCAGCTGCCAGCAGATCTGCCAATTCTGACAGTAAGTGCTCCTCCTCTCCCCTCCCTTCTTGCCAGTAAAAAGCTGCCCCCAGGACTGGCAAAATGTAAAGCTTTCAGTTCCAGAAAGGGCTGAGCACGGTGGGGAAGCACCCTGGCTATTTCACGCTGGGAACAAGAAGGGAGGAAGCTGCAATCAGCTGGGTATTGTGCCCCTCATTCAGGCGCGGCAGGGGTGGACTAGATGTTCTTAGAGCTCTTTTCCACCCTTTATGATTCTGTGATTTCTCTGTGCTCACCTGACGAGCAGATGAAGCAAATGCTCGCTGACCTGGATGGGCTGGATGTGCCCCAAACCCTGGAGCACCCAGGAAAGGGCTTTGGGTGCTCCCCACAAGTCCCATCCCAGCTCAGGGCAGGACCCTCGGCTGAGCTCTGGGAGCTGCACCAGGGAGCAGAAACACTCGGGTCCCACCGGAGAGGCCAGGTAGCCGTGGCCTCCCCCAGAGGGGTTTGCAGGGCTCTGGCTGCCACCCTATCCCCAGGCAGCCCCTGAGGGCAGCGGAGCACCCCGGGCTGGGAGCCCAGCACGGGGCTGGACCACGTCAGGCAATTTGCTGAGATTGATGCAGGGAGAAAGCGCCAAGGCTGTGCCCAGAGACGGGCTTTGCTGCAGCTTTGATGACTCCTTTTAGGGTCTGATGGCAGCTCTGCTCCACTG